CTGACCGCGAGACAGCGGGGTTTTGGCACTTGGCTACAGAGTCCGTTTTATGGAGTAAGGAGCCACCCTTACTCCAACCCCCAACCTGGAGGGCCAGGAGACTGAGTCTGTCTGGCCTCTAACCACTAGTCAATCTGGTATGAGTGGGTCTGAAGCTGCAAAAATCACTACCCAGCAAAGCTTAATGGGCCACTGAGGCACACAAACCATCGCACCACGTTAAGGTCCAGTCTCATCGCGATGGACACCAGGCTTTCTGTGTCCAGTAAACTGAGTGAGCTGGAAGAGCTTGCGAGTATTGCCAGAGAGGGCAGCGACCTCCATTTCCGAAGCACGCTGAGACCACCAGGTTTCAGGACCATTGTGTAGACTTTGTTTGAGCTGCCGACTGATACAGCGGTGCATTTCATTATGATTAGACTCTGTTGAGATATTTTTACGGCGGTCAAATAGATCCAGAAAACGCGTGGCGATCCATGCCTTCGTGGGGTGTTGAATAAAACCACAGACACTGTCCGGAGGAGATCATAGTCCTTTGCATGAACATCCTGGGTTCATCACTGTCTTGCGGTGGGTCGCAGCTGAGTGCATCGGCCAGGGAAGATTGATAGCTCTATTGGACCGGGAGAGTAGATAACTTATTCGTATCTACCTCGCAATGCTTCGTTTTCGGGGACCATCCGAAACTCATGCAGATGTTCGTACAGGCAAGAGTGTGATCTCAGTCAACAAATATGGACCATATTGATCTACAATCCTTTACCCTACCTCACTATCTGAAACCGATTATGATTTGATCAATAGGTGACCATGATTGAGGCGCAGAAGGCGATCGTCAAGTAGCGGAACTCTCGAATGCCGGAAGCCGGTGCTCAAAAAAGACAAACGATTGTCTTCGCGGTGTGAGTAGTCTCCCCATTCTCTGTACGGCTCTCATCTAGCGCATGGTGACCACCGAAGTGACCTACATTTGATAATGGACGACCAACCCATGCGTTGAGATCCCCAGTAACGACAACCATATCGGATTTGCAAGCTCTGCTCAAGAGCTGGTGTAGTTCACGATAGAAGCCGTCCTTGACTGAGTCACAACTGCAGTCATTTGGAGCGTAAGCCGAGATCACAAACAAGTGGCATCTCTCCTCACGACATTCTGACCATTGATAAAATCGGTCGTTATATTGTGTCGTACCAGTGGACCTACCTAACTGTTCACGCCCAATGTGGTTACCGTCATAATAATTTTGCGCCGACCCACACTGTCTGCAAAAGGTCGCAAGCGTTACAGGTTCGTGCATTTTTGAAGACATCCACCTAGACCAGGGGTCATCGAGACTGTTTTCACGGCGGACCGGATACTTGAAGAATTATGCTAGCGTGTGCAGGATGATTGTGAAATGTGAATAACGCAGGCCTGTAAAAACGAAATGAGTAGTGTGGAACGCACAATCATTTTGCACAATACATGCATGCCAGAATGAAAACTCAGGGAAAAAGGAAAGGAAATGTGACGCTCAGTGTCCGCCTATCTTGTCTTAGTTGCCTTATGGAAGGATGAAATAAAGGAGACGTGAACACGTAAAACACATATTGTGTTGGAAACACTAAAAATATTATTAAAACACCGGAAAAACAGGACTATGGGGCATTGATGAAACTAACTTACACGTAAATTACGTTTGCACGTTCGGTAATATATGGTTGGCGGCATCCTCTTTCTGATTTGCCTGTCACTGTGGTCAGCCACAGGACGCCTGCGCCTACAGAGGGACTATGGGTGGCTTGCGCCGCAACACCCACAGCTCCATCCACACACCCCATATCCAGTGTAAACCCGAAGGAATAAGACCGGGAGAAATGTAGATGGGAGTCACGTTTCATCAATGGAGTCGGCCCACACTCCTTCACAAGTACGCTGTATTTGGGAATCAAGTGCACACAAGGCGGTGACTGGAACGTAGTCGCTCCACGCTGAGTGCATGGAACCACTCTTCGAGCCTAGCACGACCACAAGGGCCGTGCACCCCGTCCCCTCCAGCAACGACCAACTATCTCCTAGGGACAGTGTGGCCGAGGTAGTGGGTAATAGACAGGTAGACACCTTGTCTGCATGCAAATCAAGCGCAGCCGCACCGGAGATGTCAAACAACAGCAACAAATAAAATATGTGTGTTAAGGAATAAGGCTATGCAGACATAACTCCTCCCTAAATTAGCATGTGAAGTATGTTGTTTAGCAACGAATCCGCGACAAGTAAGAAATGTCCAGAAGGGACTCAGAAAATGTTACAAACGCACTAAAGTTAACCAAGATAAGCACAATTACCGTAAGCAACGTGGAAATTTAATAGAGGATTATTCCGGTAGGCATAACAAATCAAATGAAGTGGAATGAAATTTATCCAGCTTAAAAAGAGACTTAGTTTAAGTGTAAGTTGGTTTAGCCTAACTGCGGCGAAGAAGCATCATGAATGCAACATCAGCCTCAGCATGGGGCACGGTGCACTATATATATATATATATATATCGCTTTTGTTCGACGCAAATATATCCTTCTACTCAAAAGACCGCCTTACTTTGCTTTAAAATTTCTCCATTCTGGTCACCGTTGACACTCTCTTTGCTTCCGCAGGTGTCGAGTTTGATTTGTCGGTTTGGCCACTGTATAAGCGCTGTTTACTCCAAAGCGCTGATAGCTTCGCCAGTTTTAATGCACTTATACTTCATGACCGTTCTTGTGTGGGTGCTCTAGTTTCACTTTGTCCAATCTCCTACCTTCTGATGAGGAACACAATCTCCACTGTTGAGCGCACGTCGATGGGTGCGCTTTCAGAGATGCCTTTCATATTCACATTCTCTTGGGATGTTCCATGGTCATATTCTCCACTTTCGAATTGACTTGTTTGACAGGCACAGTTTTTTCAGATGCGTCATTTCGTCATGTTGTATTCACCCATCCCTGCGTAGTTCCTAGCTAATTCATTGGTCTGCCGTTTCTTGTTTTGGACATTTACGTGCACTACGAAACCACACGACCCTCGGTGTGGCATCCCATACTCTGGCGCTTTTTAAGAACTAGATGCAGTCGTAATCAGTCAACTGCGGTTTTAGGTCGCCGACTGTTACAGAAATTAACTTCTCCAACCATATTTCTTCTCATGGTTGCCTAGTCGGACTAGTACAAACGCCTCTAGGAACACTTGTAGAAGAATAGGACATCAGCGGTACGCCGGAAGATTGTGCCGGCTTTTCGTTGCCACACGATCACCACCACTCTCTTATGGGCTAGGTGTACTGTGAGATCGCTGTCGCCTACGCAGATTCCAACCGATGACCTCTGTGTTACAATGCAGGCGCCTTTTACCTTCAATCACTGGTTACAAGAGCAGTTGTGCTATTCGTAAGCTTTGTTCTCTCAACTTGCTAACGAGTAATGACTTAAGCGCCACCTATCAACGCTATCAACCATGTCTATATAACTCCGGACGTTAGCTAGAGTTGAGAAGCACTTCAGTCTGTCCCTTAATAGAGTACCGAAAAGAGTCAAAACCAATGCCGCCGACTTCAATTCCACGAGTTGAACGACTATAGATTCACCGACTCACTTCCTGCTTCGAGTAAATATCCCAATAGAGCACTTCCGTATTCAGTAACTCCTCGAAATTACTGGACCCATTTGTTGCCAGGCTTCCTCATACTTGGCCTTTGTTCCTATGCATGGGCAAGGTGAGTAGGTTCAACCAGTCTCCAAACTAACGGGAGGACACATGCCCCTATAGCCTGTAAAATTACCGATGATCTATCAACAATTAAACCTCTACCCATGTTTGCACGTTCAAGGAGGCGAAATCAGCACATGATTGTCCATAGGCAAACCCCTAGATCTGTCTTCAATTATCCGATCACATCTGATTGTCATACATTAGTACGCTTGGTTTATGTCAAGTGATCATGTCAGTCTAGTCCTGTGGTTCTCAAATGCCAAGACGATACATTGACCTCTGTTACTCTGTGTATCCATCTGATTTCACTGCCTTCGCTCTCCACATCGTATGCTTTGTCCTAGCAGTGTTATCCCCAAAAATCTGCTATTTATCACACATTTAGGAATGTTGCCCTCGGCTAATGCTATTTGTGCTCTTCGTTGTACCTGCGAGATATGGGTGAAGGTCGCGTAAGCCCGCTTGTCCTATTTTCTTCCTCTTGTAATAGCCCTATTTTCGTCTCCATTGTAACATGCATTGGAGTACGGGGCCGTTATTTTTCTGGTCGCATTGCCGGTTATACAGTTTCTTTCACTGCACCATGGCATCATCGCAGCCGCATCATATCCGGGACTTCTGCGACGCCATCTTGGGATTGAATCGCATGATGTTATCTTATTGACATGCACTAATGTGCGATTGATTGGCGGGAGATGCTTTGTACAATGTGCTGAGTTACTGGCTGCCCCTTTACATCACTTATTGTGGCTGATTTTTACCCTCAAAATCTACCGGGTAGTGTGCTTGTCCAAGCGAATCTTCCAAATCCATAATGTGGTACTTCCCTTGTCAGCTCCAATCAACCTAATTACTCCCTCTATCTGAATTATCCTGTTTGCTGAGTATCCAGGTTCCCTGTCGGCGCCTCTTTTACCCGGTTTTTACACACCAATTCGCACGCTGACCAGTGTCTTTGTCCTTCTAACTCATCCTATTCCGTTGCTGGGGATTTAAATGCACATTTCTTACACAACTTTATGGTTTCATATCCGGGTTGTTTGAGAGGCCCATGTTCAATCCGTGCAACTAACTACGTTTTATAATGGCTCACCCAGTATTGTTGAAGTTGAAATATAGTTCGCCCACGTCCGGCGTCTAACGCTCGACTCGACCCCAAAGGCTCCCATCGCCGCGATTTATTTTTTTGCTACTGATTAAAAATAAGTAAGCAAACTACAATTTGAGCTCAATTCCTTTCTGCTCTTCGTTCTAACCGTGCGACGATTTTTCTTTTCAGCACATGATCAAATACCGCTACGTGCCATTCACCTATGGCAAGCCCCGGCACCGATCGAGCGCTTCTGGTGCTAATCGAAAACTTTAAACAGTCAATCCTCGTCGGGAAGCCGTTTCCTTTAACTGATGCGTCGCGCCTCCCGCAATATCTTTCCATCCCTTCTTTACTCGAACGACGATTCACGCACGTGTGCGCATCGCGTGTGTGCTTGCATTATCTGTTGCTTACTTGACAGTCTAAAAAAATTTATTCCCACTTATTTTCGCTTGCCTTTATGCGCCTGTGTTCAGCTTCCGAAAAAGCTGTGGGTGTAACTTTCTTTTCTCTCACAAACAATCGGAGTGTACCTCTCGCTGTCCCTATACAAGATGGTGCTGATTTCTTTTTAGGTTTTCTCACGCGTATGCACTGCGCCTGTTCACCCATGTCTCCCTTTTAATACTCACCTCTGATTTCCTGCTCCGGCAGTCTGCATGCAAGGGAACACATTCGGGTTAGAACAGCGTTTCGGGTGTCAACACATAGTTGACATGAAACTTGAGTTATTTTCGCTCTCTTCTCCATTTTCGTATCTCTTCTGCCTCGGCAACAAGTTTTCAATTCGTGCTTACAGTCTAGTATTTCGCACACTTTTATTCGAGTACCTGGGCGAACATTCACGTTTTGTATTTGATTGCCCCAGCGAGGTTGGAATTGGTATCCTCGCGTGCGGAATACTGGAACGCACTTTTCGGCTCCATAGCACCTAGTGGAACGGTGAATCTTCTCTAAATCGTTTTCGGTTGCGTCGCTGCATCGTTTTCCTGTCCGCTGAAACACGATCTTTGAAAAATCATACTTGTTGCGCTTCCCACTTATTTTCTCGCCTGGTACAAATGTGCAATATCCTCGCCTCATACTCAGTTCGCAACAACGAAGTACAGAGACGAGTAGTATACGGTGCTAGTAGGTGTAGTTCTTTCTGTTGAAAAGCGTGGTATTGAGCTTGTTCAGTTGGTTTTGCTACGCGCTATATATGCCCGCTTATCGATGATGGCCTTGTCTCGTCTGCCGGTTTCATGGTGACGCAAGGTTCGAGAGTGGCAACCGCCGACTTGATAGCAGGAGACGATGACACTGTCTGCTGAAGTGGATGTTGTCGGTCTGTCTCGCTCGGAGTGCACGTATACCGCCTTATGCTTAGCTCCAGATTTCACAGGACATGCTTCGCAACCGGCACCAGTGACAAGTTTGCTGTCACCTAATCGGACTTCTTGGTTAAAGTTTGTATATAGTGCTTAGTTATCTGTAGTGTATGGTTGATTATACTACAGAGAAATGAAAAGCGCTGGGAGGCCATCTTCCGGATGCCACCTTATTCTCACATAATAAATGAGCAGAAGGTACCAGCAATATGCCGGTACGTTGTACGGACGTTTCGTTACCACGCGTTTATCACCAGTCTCGTGTGGGCTAAAGATACCTCATAGTCACCTACACCCACACATACTCGAATTTAGGATCTTTGGAATGTAAGTCACGCACATGTACCACTCGTACCGCTGTTTGAAGCATTGTGTTGCTGGTGCCTTCGTACCGAATGTTCACTTAGGATATTTAGCTTTTACGCCGGCTCCGTTTCTCCAGTCTTGTTGTTATTCTTCATCGGCTGACTCTTGCGACTTTGTAGAGACCAATTCATAGCCTCTTTTATCATTAGAGACGATGAAATACGAGTTTATTGGTTTAGTGAGTGGGCTACAGTACAGTCAGTGTTATTTGTGGTCCGGAGACCTGGCCATTGTCACGGAGGTCGTTAGGGGACGCATCGTGTTTAGGCACTGATGGGATCACCGAATGGGTAGTTCTAAATTCAATCACTTATTATCTGTCGTCCGACTCTTTGGCGTGCCTCTTGAGCTCATTCCTTCTACATTGGCTACGTTATGTACTTCGCATGTATGCTGAACGGCTATTTTGGCGTGCATCGTTTGCCATAGATTCCTCCTACTTGGGTGAAATCTCGTAATGGTCAATCGATAATATGGTTAAACAGCACGATAGATGGCTCACCTAGATGATAAGTAAGTCCGGGATATGTCGTCTTCATGAATGAAGCCCTGCAGTATCGATCACATAAGTGTCTTTATATGCGTCCGAATATATAGCACAGTTAACTGTACGGTTACATTTACTCCACTGCCTCTTTTCCTTAACTACTCCATCTTATGTTTTTATCTAGTTCCTCTGAATTGTTACCGTTTTCTAGCGATATCCGTTTAAGCAACTGGGTCCACGGCAAGCATCATAGTTTATCTGCTGGTTAACTATCAATGCCAGCAAAGCATCCTTACAGATTGCCATCCCTAATGATGATGGAACGTAGCATTGCATGAGAAACTTCGCAGTATCGTGAAACAGGTTCGCTAACGCATTCCAATGTTTTTCTGTGCCGCAATCTCGGCGCACATGTGATTTACCTCTTTCTATGGCACCACCGTGTTCGAACACTGGGTCATCTGTACACGGATCGTTTTCAAACATTCCCGGTCGGTACATTTTACTTAACCACGTCTATCAAGTTACAAACAAGGATACTATCCTTTTCGGTCGCATTGCTTGTTGCCTACTGTGACTTCCACGTTAAACGTGCTCCATCCGAACTTTAAGAATTATCCCATTCCGTATCAGTGGGACGCTGTTTCACAAGTCCTCTTCAGAAACCATAGTGTGTCTCGCGACCTATTGTGGTAACTGACAGCTATGAATGATCAATCATACCGGTGGTCGGAGACAATATCCCAAATCAGCTATCCCAGATGTGCCGATCAATGCTTTATGCTTTTAGCCGCGAGTCTATGGGGATAGATCACCGAAAAACGATTAGTCCAGTGTGACACCTTCAGTTCATATCTTCTTTTGGTGCAAGATACCACTGTTTGTTCGCACAGCCAAAGAGATAGGACAGTAGCTGGTCAGTGGAATTTGGCTCACGGAACACCGATTGACGAAGTGAATAATCGTTCGCCAACTCCATTCCCAACAATGCTTCGCAATTAGATGTGAGCTCCATATAACGGGTCGTCTTTTAGTGGATGTTGACCTCGGCTCAGTACAAGCTCTGTCTTTAGAGAGCCAGACAACACGGTGCACCAATTGTTTTCTCGGATATATTTCAACTCAAGAAAGTACTTTATGCACCCAGAAGGTTGAATATTCAACTGTTACACACACACACGCGTTCAGCATAGAAAAGAAATAAGGCAGTACATACACAAGTAGAGGGATAAGTGGCGTAAACAGCGGTGTGGTTATGGTGCAAAGTTATTTTTAAGCTCTAGGACAACTGATGTCTGGTCGCACAAGAAACGTGCCACATATGGGATAACGGATGAGTGCTATGCCCTTGTACGGGCAAAAATCGATCCATACTTTTGTTTGCTTGAGGAGGTTGATACTCAGACAGTGCGCTATGAAGAGGGTGACTGGTATCAATAAGTATTCTCGAAGCAAGCTTTTGACTTGAATTGATATCAGTGGACACAAGAATCTCAAAACAAGGTCGGCTTGGGAATTTCACTGCACCGAGATAATTGCGTCAGTGATCTACCTAGGATTTTGAAGTGCTTCCTTAGGGAACCAGAAAATATCACATTGGTGCAATAGGTCCAAAGGGGTAAGACACTTGCGGTGATAAATTACAGCATTAAGTGGCGGGGGACAGGAGGATCGCAAACGAAGGGCGTAGAACGAAAGCCTGGAGTCGATATATGTTCTCGGGTGAACATTGTCTCTTGTAAACCTGCGATCTTTACAACGAGTAATATCCATGTGGCTTACTTTGTTGTACACAATAGGAGATAATTTCGATGGTCATAACTACCGTTTGATGCCTGATTGCACACAAAAAGCGACTTCACATTGTTAACATATAAGGTCTATAGTTGCTTCAAGTCTGGTGGGGGAGTTTACAACATTTTACAATTCAAGATCTGTGAGGAAAGTGTCAGCTCTGTTGAAATCACCAGCAAAGATGCAAAGAGAATAATCAATGGGGTCGATGACACTTGAAGTGAACTGATCGTGAAATTCCTCGGCCTCAGAGGCAGGACAACTGAGGGCAACGTAGATGTTTGTAAGCCAAATCGATTGTTAGCCACTTAAACACCTTGGTTTACATTTCAAAATCAGTTAATACGTAGAGAAGAAAAGCGAAACTAAATTTTTGTTGACGTGCACCACACAGGATTGACATAAGTGATGACACCTCCGCCGCGGCTCTTGTCTATAGTCGACAGGATGGCAAATCAACCTCTCGATCAATACAACCTCATCATCAACGTCTTCATGGAGACAAGTCTCGTGAAGCATAATCACGCCAAGCTTCGAGTATTCACGACAGCGAATTTTTCTTTTAATCTCGTCCATTTTGCTCATAACTGATCTGACATTTGAGTTTATTATAATGGGTATACTCGCAGAGTATCCCTCTATCCAACACGATGCTTTTTAATAGAATTATGCTTCTTGTAGATCTGGTTCAGTTTATTTTTTTACAGCTTGACCGTGAAAAACCGTGGCGTTCAGAGGGGTAGAAACACATTTTTGAAATACCGCGAGTATGGATCATTATCGCACTGAAGATTGTGTGGATTGGGTAGAAAACACAAATGCAACAATTGCGGGAAGCATGAGTGTAATTAATTTTCTAGACGGAACAAAAGAGCACCGCCAAGTTGGAAGGCCTCACCTTGTTGTCACGGTTTGTCATAGTGATGCGCCCTTCAGTCGCATCACTAGTTGTATTTTGTCGTCAGTTGTTACCAACATCTTTAGACTGATTCAATCCTTACTCTCCTTGACTGATTGCCTAAGGAACTTCTTCCTGTATCATCTCGTACTCATCATTCTAGCTACCGAGCCCTTGCTATCCACTCCTGCTCTATCCTGTGTCTTCTTGTGAGACGCGGTTGTGGGCTGTTGCGGCACTCTGACACGGCCAGCCAAGTAAATCCTTCTTCCGTTCTACTATCAACGCAATCGATATCTCAGCAATTCAGCCTCTGATTGTGCGGATAAGCGGCATCCAAGCCCTTCTTCATGGCGTA